AAATTGCCTGTTAAATTGTCCTGGTCCGCAGCTATCTTAGGTGTAGATAAAAACACTGCACTTAAAGCCTGCACTTAAAGGCAGAATTGTCAAGTAAATGCCAACCTCCCTCCATGCATAGAGAGAAAGAAAGGGAGAGAGAGACAGATCCTCTAAGGAAAACACATTTCCATTACAAGACAAAATACTGCGACACCTACACAGTTTGTCTCTGGAAGTGGCCACAACTGTTCACTTATTTAAGGTATTTCTCAAGCTGAACTATCAATAATCATATTTTCTACAAATTATATGGTTTAGACTCAAATATTATGACCCATGATTTATTAAAGTACATATTCCAAAGTCAAAACTACTTTTTTTTTCTTTAGAAAGATTCAAATGAGTTATCCAATGAAGAAGCCAATATGTTGTCCATTTGGGCTGTTAAGCACGAGCGGTAAAACTGTAATACCTCTTGATCAAATGTCACTGTGCTCCCTTAACGATTCAAGCTACGGTCTCAATCCAATATACGTTTGACATTTCTGGTCATGCAATCAGATGGAAAATTAAGCCTCATTCTTTTAACATTACATAGATATTAAGGATAATTGCTTCTTTCCTTTCTTTGTACCTGAAGCGGAAAGCTGTAACGTAGTGATAATGAAAAAGGTGGGTTGGTTAAAGCTTCTGGTTTGTCATAAAGAAAATTGCAGCAGATATGAGTACAAATCAATTGTACATTGAAATAAACATTCAAATGTAAATGTCCCCTTACTCACTTACGACTTTAAATATTGGTAAAAATCAAGACAGGAAAATGTTGTTGTGCTCTACACTAAGTCAGTAAATAAGACTCAGCAGGTTGTGTTATGAGTTAAAAATCACACTTAAAGCTCTGAAATGTTTTATAAGTTTGACTTTGGGTCTGGATTTGGCCCCATACTTAATGGCAACCTTTCTGTGAATTCAAATGAATTTTTAAAGACTAATGCTCTTTCATTATTTAGACTAGTTATATATTAATGATTTCTAAAATTACTTTATTATTTAATGGATCATGAGGATTGTGATTCATGTACATAGCCAGTGGGGGACTTTAGAATACAGTTACAGTCTATTGACACACATGGTTCTGTTTTTTTTCTTTTTCTGTGTTATACTCAAAGTTATACACAACACATTCATAAATACTTACTGTAAATGGAGAGACCCTTTTTAAATCTTAAACACAACTATACTTTTTAATGACTTAATGTGTCAGATGTTATATCGTATACTGTGGCATTTTATAGCAGTATGAGAACCTTGATAAATAGATGTAGTCTGCCAACATAAACTGAGAGGTCATACGTTAACTGCATCAATGAGCAATGTGTGACAATGACTTTAAAACATCACTGTGTGTCAGTCACCATTAAGGTCTTAATGTTTGCATAAACCTGTACAATTATTTTTATTTAACGACTCTAATTTGTTCAATAGAGAATTTCTGGTGTGTGTGTGTGTGTGTGTGTGTGTCAGTACTTGTTTTCTCACACTATGACTATCATTATTTTTGATGTGAAAACCACACATCTTATCAGTTTTATTAAATTAAAACTGGATGAAGTACATTAATTAAAACCATTACTGTATGGACAGAGTACTTTATTAAAACACACAGGAAATTACACTGTTACAGCATTTTGCAAGTACAATTAGTTAAAAACAATATCTTCAGAATCGGGGCCCCTACCTCATGCCAAACATATTTGCATTTATATTTTACAAATAAACAACATATTTAAATTAATTTGTCTGTACTCCAAGTAATGCCATATCTCAGAGCACATATAGTGGACTCAAACAATGAAAGAAATCATTCAGCAAACCAGTTCCCCGGAATACAAACAGTGCCAGGTCACCTTTGTTAAGCAGAGCGCAAATTAACCCAGCAGCATGTTTTGATATTTAACTCCACATCTGTTTGTATGTGCGGATCTTAAGTCGGACGCTAGGGGGCAGAAAAGCTCCACAAGTTGCGAGAATGGAGAAACCAGTATTGAAACCACTGAGAGCTGCTGCAGCACACTGGCCAAGTTTTCTATCTGTTATCATCTGACAATGGTTTAGCGTTATTTTTGCTTTGAATTATGAGATGCAAATATACTCAGTGCAAACTTATTTTAATTTAATCTCTTTTGTTGTTCAAAATTACCCCAATAATTAGGTATGGAATATATGTGTGATTTATGTGAATTATTAATACTCTTATTGAAGACTGTACATGTATGATCCTCTCAAAACTCACCACAGTTTAACCACAAATGTAGTAATGTCAACGTTATCGTCGTTTAACTGAACCTCCTATAATGAGAATAAGGACTCTATTTTGAGATGATTTATCTTGCATGCGTGCGTGTAGGAGAAAGGTAGAGCTCCCATTGAAGGGTTTTTACTTTAGGTCCAGCTGACAGTATTGCCTCTCAGGTCTGAATCTTGACTTGGGTTCAGGTGTGCCATTTGTTAAGGGAGATGTGACGAGGTCGAGAAGCCATGAGTACAGCCTTCCTATATAGCCCTCTCCAGTGGTGGCTCAGCAGCCAGGCAACTTTGCGGGGGATTTTGGCTAAACATCCGCCCATCTGCTGGCCCATCTGAAGAGGGGCACATCTTTAACTTCCACAATGCAACTTATGAAGGAAGTCTCTTAGCGCGTGAGAGCGAGCGCGTGAGTCCGTGCGTAGGAGAGACAGGGAATGAGTGGGGACTGATTGAAGCGAATATGATGAATATTCATAACCACACATGACACAGTTTTATTGTATTTCTGTATAACGTGGTCTGCGTGATTGATTCCAGGTGCACTTTTACGCACAACATATGCAAAACAATCCCATAAATCCCCGTTTTATTGCAGGTTAGGATTAGCAATTAGGATGATTTGGTGCTTTGTTATTATTGTGCTACCTATACTAAAACCATGTCTTTCACCTTCGATCAATCATTTGCGATTAATTTATTATATCAGTATAACTTGTGTTAAAGAGGGATCTATCTATATTGGAATAACATGTAATTTGTATATCTGTTATAGCGTACAGAAAAATATTATATTCAAAAGTTTCGATAAAAAAAAAAAAATTGAAATCCAAACGTGGCTTTAATTGGAATTATATATAATGTGTGATGCCAACTTTTACGCACGCTTTCAACCGCACTCGTCTATCAAATGACCATTTGGTGATGATAATGTGCAGCTCTCTTTCTGTTTGGACCACAGATTAAATATTGTAATGCACAGACACCAAACTGAAGGAGTGTGACCAGTAACTCAAACTTGTCATGAAATTGCTCAAAACAATGCTTTAAAAAAATATAAGAAACAAAGAACCAGATTATCCTTAGTTTATTAGTATTATCCCCTTACTCTGACATATGTCTGGTTAAACCTGAGGGAAATTACATAAGAAAACAATTGTTTTCCTGTTTATATAGCCGTGTTGTGATAAATTATAATGTTCAGCAACTCTCAATCACAGTTCAACATTATTTATTGAATATTACATCTATGCATAAACGACTGCGCGTCATGGTTTGTGAGCTTCCCTTTTCTGCACCAACGCAGGAGGGTTGCATCTGTTAGGGTCCAATGTTAGTCTTAATTACTGGCCTTCATGTTCTCCATGGCCCTCAACCGTCTTTAATTAAAACCTTGATTAGGGGGGAGGAGGTCTCGGGCAAGACTATTACCAGATGGGTTTCCAGCAATAATAATAAAGACTTTATCCGCTGCCGCTGCTGCTGCCTGTGTGCCATAAAGCGCAGAGCTCGCTGCCCGTCCATATCAAAGCACAGCGAGCAGAAAGAGGCTGTTAATTACGCCGGTAATTACTTGTCTAATTACGGTTCGTTTGTGATTAGATTTAGAAACGTTTCTCGGTCTATACAGAGGCTTTCTGTTCCCAGTACGCAGGCTTAACACTGTATAGGCTGAAATGTAGTGTGTATCCACAGCGGGGTGCTGCTGAATAACCGGCCTATAAGAGATGGAGTGAATAAGATCAATAATGAAGCACTGACCCGAAAGTTATCTTTATTTTTCTCACAGAAATCCTCAATAATCTATATGTTCAAGGTACAACAAAGTGCCTCCAGAATGAGCCAGAAACATATTCGCTTTCCTTTTTGTCTGCATTATGTTTGGCACATTTTTTTTATAACCCTTCCCTTCAGAGATTGGAAGCCTTTAGTGAGCTTTCTTAAAAGCAGTGACGGGGTCAGCTTATGTCACATTTTAACGACGAGCTTTTTCAGGTCCTTTGAGAGCCTCTGGATCTCCATCTAAGTCATATTTTCAGTGTTAAAAAAACATTTGCAGAGGGGAAAACACAAAAAGCCAAATTAATAATGCATACTGACATATCCCGCAGAATTTCATATTAGCGATTTAAGATTCGCCACATTATGAATATATCTTGCCAATGGTCTGAAAGTCATTACGAGTGCGAGCAGGCACGCCGCCGCCGCCTTTATATTCAAGACAGAGAAACTTGCAAATAACAATCAGTTCAATTATCCTCAAAATATGTACTCCAGGATAGGATTTGTCATCCAGACACAGAGAAGGAGGGAGGGGACAAGAAGTGATTTCTTGCTGCACTATGTGCGTCCATTTTCCAGACGGTTTGTCGTCGTTGCCTGATTTGGTGTATGTTGTTTTACATAGCCCAGTTATCTGTGTGAGTTCACTACAGCCTTTTGCTGCTGCATCCATTTATACATATCACACAGATCTGCGTTGAGTTTGTCACATTTGGTGATTTATGTTGTGTTTCCACTCTTGCTTGGAGCTATAGGCATTTTTGTAGAAGGTCCCACTGGCCTGTGCGCAATTCAGGGACAACATGCTCATTTATCCGGACATTTTAGCATGATCTTTTGCAGTTACGCACAAACATATTCTCTAGACCTATGAATGAATTGTGTTGCTGTGTTCTTCAGTGTGTGTGCAGCGGTGCCGACAGTATAATTACCTCTCCTCCTCGGATCATCTCTCGCTGCTCCTCCTGCAGCAGGTGCTCCGGCCTCTTCGACCCTGCACAGAAAAGTGCCAAAGGCCAGGTGATGGCATTAGTGAAATGATGTCTATTTTTATGCGCACATGCCGCCCCCTCCATCAGGAAAGAAAGGAACAGGGGCCAAATAAGATCTTTACAAATGCCATCCCATCACCTGTCACTCACCATGCTTGTTGAATCGTGGGGAGGTGAGGCTCTGTGCAAAGTAATGAGTTATTACCATCATTTAGTGGAAGAGACGTCCGGAATACTCCCTTTTTAGGCTGACACACAACACCTATATTATTTTTAATTAATCATTATGGGTAAACGAGGCTGTAGAAACAATCTTTGGCGAGAAGTTATTTTTGTCACTCAATCTTCGAATATGTGCCATAATTTGGTGCTTAGTTTACACATCCTATTTTAACGCAACGTTATAAGCTTATTTATTTACCCTAAAAAAAAACATGCAGAGTTACCCATTCTGCAATAACACAAAGCAAATTGAAAGTAAGAGCAGATTATCATGGGTCCTCATAACATCTATTTCTAATAGGATATTATCAAAGAAATAACAAATTGCATGGATATGATTAAATACAAAACTGCAGTGAGTCTCTTGTAATGTCTTGTCTTTTATCTGGACCCTGAGTCTGTAATAAAGTTTCCATTCATTCATTCTAATACAGCCCACACCACTGCTAAAGGGTTTAGTTAAGAGCCCATCATCATCCCTGCCCTGGGGATTATGTATCATGACCATAACTACCATACCGTGTGTTGGCTATATCGCACACCATGAATTACACAGGAGAATGCACAACCTCAGTGCTCAACGTTATTCACAAAAATCAGCCAGATCACAGTAGCAGAGGTGTGAGGGGCGATGGAGCTACATTTCGTATAAACTTTTACGAGTGCAAATTAAATCCTCAAAGCTTTGTTACATTCATAGTCTTATTTTGATTTGAACTCCAGACCTTGAAATAATGTAGTGAGTGATATGAGTAAGAGATGCAAATGTACTGCTTACATGTTGGAGCAAGATACAAAATAATGTTTTTTACACTGCTTAGAAGACACTACAAATTATGTTATTCTTAATGTAAATACTTTATTATTTCAGTTTATGTGTCACCTAAGATAAAGTCAGAGATAAGATAAAGAGTCACCATCAAGAATGCTCATATATTCATCTGATATATGGTAGATATTACATGTATTATCTATTGGCCAAGTGAAAGGTAGGTGTTTTTGCATACATTGTTTTTCGAGCTGTAGCAAATGTTCTCTGAAAACAGACCTTTTCACAAATGTTGAAAACTATCCAGATGTTCAAGAGTCAATTGTGCAATAATTATTTGTTCGTTAACTTCAGTGTAAATGGCCCGTTTAAAGTAACATCACCAAATCCAAGGTCGAGATAATCTGCAAAACTACAAATCTTATAGTTGTTATATAGATACAATGCTCTTTGGTGGTGCTGAATCCAGGCCAACACCCTTTAGCTAATGCGTAATTTACCTCGCCGTGCGTAATTAACTGCGTCGCCGACAGACCCCAGTATGTGTAACACTTTATTTTTGAACGGTGCAATACGTTTTCATTACACGTTATTAAAGCACAGGGAGTGACGAGCTCTCATTTGTCTTGTCAGGACATCTGACAACCTCGTTAGCTCCCATTTTCCCCTGTCAGCTCGCAGCGCGACACGGACACTGACTTTAGCCACTCCTGGCAAGCGAGTGATAAATGCGCCTACTCAGCCCTGCGCAAAACAGCAGCATTATTGTTGCCAGCACGAAGCATCAGAATCAATCACAGGCAAGTCTGCGTGGCAGGTGTCAATCTTACGGTTTCTCTTTTGAGATCCTGCCCACTGTCAATCTTTAATCTAATTTAAAGGGTCGTAGATTTGGGGCATAATATCCCCTCGTTTGTTCTCTCTCTCTCTCTCTCTCTCTCTCTCTCTCTCTCTCTCTCTCTCTCTCTCTCCTCGCTCTCTCTCTCTCTCTCTCCTCCTCTCTCTCTCTCTCTCTCTCTCTCCTCTCTCTCTCTCTCTCTCTCTCTCTCTCTCTCTCCAGTCTGACTCGGAGGACTGACCATGCACCACTGCCGACACAGCCCGCATTTAGTGCTCCACACAGGCCTCAGTAGCAGATTAGAGGTGTCGCAAATAGGATTGTTATGAATATTTGTGAGCAAATGGAGGATCTTGTTATTGTGCACGAAAAAAAGAAAAGGGGAGAAGAACACTTAATGGCATGGGATCTTTCCGCTAGCTGCACTTTCAGATACAATTGTAGATCGAAGTCAGACTTGTCACGTTGAGCCAAAGTGAATTCCTAACATCCAGGACGTGCCTGTCTACTCCGGACAAATTGCATCCAATCACCCCGGGGGAATTCAGCTAATGTCTCGATCCAGGGCCGGGGAGCATGGAGAGAAAACAAATCAAACTCTACACACAGAGCGTGTAGGGCTTATTAAAACATTTCACACAGGGGGAGAGAGAGAGAGAGACGAGGAGTGTGTGTCTGTGCATGCGTGTACGCGCGCGTGTGTACTGTGGGGTATGTGTGGGGGTAATTAGGCTATATTATGTTTGGACACAGTATTTTGAATTGAAAATATCAGATGACCAATTTAAATATATCTGCCTGCTGTTTGAGTGGCAGAAAGGCCTGACATCATTTAACCAATCCACCGCAGATCAGGCTGTTTGACTAACTGAGGTTCACTTTAATATCAAGTCTGTCATGGTTCTTTTGACGCTTAAAACTTTAAAAGACCAGTAAAAACCCAAAGCTTTATGCATTTAACAAACGTTCAGTCAAATGTACAGGGCCTTCTTCACAGTCAGTTTAAACTTGAAGTTCAGATCAAACTTACCTCTTCGTCTCCATTGCAATTAATCCTAATTTAGATGGATGAAATGCCCCCTTTGAACGCAGCATCAACTCTGCATGCACCCTCTGCTTTCTGGTAACGTGGTCGGTCCCCTGGACATTTGTCTCTGTCTGCAACAGCGGCAGTAAACAATAAGCTCATGAGGCGTAGGCTATGGCAGCATAATGTTCTGCATGGTTAGAGAGGGGAGGTCGATCATTACACAATTTGTTTCAAATTTGATCAGTTGGAGCGAGCAAGAGATTGGCATGTTCCTGGAAAGCTCACACAGGACTTCCTTAGTTTTAGGATATTCCCCATAAATAAATAACAAATGTTGTCTCTGCAGGCCTGTTCACATCCTATAGATATATCTCGCTGTGAATAATGTCAGATATCTAACTTGTATTGAAATGTATGTGGTTGCTAAATATGCATTAGCGGTGACGATTGAGATGACATGCAAATATAGGCTGATATTTATTATTATGAGTATTTGAGTTGCAAAGTAGTTTCCATTTATTCATAAAAAACTGAAACAACTGTCAGTGTGGTTTAGTGTGAATGTGTGTGTGTAAGAGAGAGAGAGGGGGGTGCGTTGTGCAGCAGCGTGGTGACGGCAGAGGGAAAACCGGCTGGACAGATTTGCGTTTACGCCTGATCTGCTTCTGAAGAGCGGGGCTGTGTGGGAAGGGAAAGGGAGCACCTGGCTCGACCGCTGTATCCCATCTCGTTTTATTGACAGCCTGATAAGCAGGGACCAAGCCGTGCTGTTTCCAACGCGGATGTCGAGCACCCTGCTGCGTTGCACAGTATCAAGGCCTCTTAATGGCTGTCCCTCCAAATAATGGCCCAAACACAGCCAGTCCTGACTGGCCCGTACCTGCGCTGCCCCGGTCTCTTCCTGAGAGACAGGCGGCGGCGCGGTTGCCCATTTACTCACCGTCTTGTTCAAATTGACACAAACATCAGAGGCTGTGAAATAGGATTCGAGGCTTTTAGCCCGCCTTAGTAAAAGGGAAGCCAAAGCCCCATTATGGCAACTTTATAGGGCTGTAGAAATAAAACGCTTTCAGGCCAGGCTGAAACAGTGGAATTGTCTCCAACGTAACTCATGTTTATGAGTACTAATTAGAATTATTGCAACATAGCTCTGTCATTATAATACTAAAGCTTTGGAAACGATGCTCGGCCTACTGCCCACACACATCATAAGGAGCAGTAAGAGGCATTTACACAGGTGTATTGATTAGGACCTGCCTGCACCTGTTCTGACCACCTGTTGCACGCTGAGCATGCTCATATTTAAAAATACAACAACAACAACAACAACAACAACAACAACTGCATGTTTAAATGCTTATGTCTCACACTCCTAATGTCAGTCAACCCCTGTCTGTTAAACTGTTAAAAGCATCGTCTGTTTAACGCAGCTTTCAAAATCCATTGTGTTGATAGTTGAGTTTCCATGCATTTGAAATGATATGTACAATATTTTTTATATACTCAAAATAAAAACTGACTAAGTCACCCAAGTCTATATCTTATGTTGTTTTCTATAGATTTTACTCATTTATTTGTATGTCAAGCTCAGAGAACATCTCAATGTAAGACTTTTATTTCTAAAATCACTGGAGAAGACAGTTTTATTTTGTATGTTGCTTAACCTTATAGCTACTTTAAACAGGGGACAGTCTCAAATGAAATACGATCATTTTAAAATGTAATAAAGATAAAAGATAATTTTAATAAAATAATGGCCCCTGTTGAGTGTGGTGTTAGCTGTCAGTCCCTGCACACACACACACACACACACACACACACACACACACACACACACACACACACACACACACACACACACACACACACACACACACACACACACACACACACACACACACACACACACACACACACACCCACACACACACACACACACACACACACACACACACTGGGACAGTAAACAGGTCGGTGTGCTCCACATGTATATGCTACCTTGTGCACTTCCCCATTCTGTGTCCTGTCCGAGGTGTGACGTCGACCCGTCGCTCCAGCCAATCACTGCCAACTTGAGGCTGATGCTGAAGGGAAAGTTGCTAGTAAGAGCCGCAGATTTTTTTTCCCACTCTCATTGACATTT